AGGGAAAAGTCCCCACGGTACTCCATAGGGGAAGAAAAGCAAACGTCTGTAGTCTAAGAACTGTCTTCTGCCGCCAAGAGGGGAAGGGAACTGCAGCAGAAAGGGAAGTAAAAGTGGGAAGTGAATGTGCAGCATCACCATGTGAAGAGCCTGTGCTTCTCGTGCCTGCTGCAGTCTCTCATTTTCTGCCAAAACCTACAAGGCAGGTGGTGCGCGCTTGGCATGAAGTTCCCCAGAGCAGCTGCAGTGCGCACAGAGAGGCCAGCCTGGAGAAAGAATCACACTTCGGACAAAATGCCAAAGCACAGCAAATTAGGGGATCCATTGTCACCTGCAAACTCTGATCCTTAATAGGGTTTTTTTGTTTGTTTGTTGTCCATCCAGTAGGGAAGATGGGAAGAAAAACTACAGAACTTGGCATTTAAACTACTCTTAGGTAAACAGCTCTGCTACATCTCTTTAATTACAGCATAAAAACATGCTGCTAGTAAAGCAGAATGTGCTTGTAGCTGAAATCTGGACTGCTTGCAGTACAGGATACTCCCTGTAACAGGTACTTCAAGTTCAGAGGTGGGGAAGTCAAATTCAAAGGCTGAATCTATTTCTTATCTACGGGGACTCTCCTTTCTAGAGCCAACATTGCATAAGAAATTGGGTTTGGGTTTCCTGTAGTCACAGGAACTCATCTCTCTGATGATGCACTTAGAACTTCTTTGGATCATTTGTAACCTACTCTGAGCTGAATCGTAGAAACTACTGCCAGGTTTTCAATCTCATCCTGATTCCAGGCCAGTTCTCTCTTGAACCACAATGTGAGGAGATGAAAAAAACAAAAAAAGACCAGTTGCCAGCAGCAACTACTTAGCAGCAACCTCAAGAAACACTTTTCACTGTCTGCCATCATCTGCAGCAGTTCCCTCTGCATGGACAGTAGATGAGTCTCGTGCATTGCTGGTGAACTGGGCTCTCTGCTCCAAGCCCAGCCTTCCCACCATCAGCCCAATGGCTTGAGAGAAAAGAACACAAAGCAGGCTGACCCTGAAGAGAGATGCAACTCCTGACTGCACTGGATGTGGCAGCTGCTGGAGGTCCAAGCCCCTCTGCCACAGTCATGGTGAGTGGTAGAGTCTACAGTCACTGAAAGGAGGAAAACTCTGGACCAGCTCCAACTGGCCACGTTGGGAATCCCAGACTAGGTAAGCTGTAGGAGGACTGGGGGCACCACGCAGTATACTGGCTTCAGAATTAAGGTGTCATTTCCATTAGAGCAGCTCAGTCCTCTCTCTCTCTGGGACGTCACCTTTAGAAAGCATCCAAAAATCAAGTCCAGATTCATTCTGGGAAGCAATGGCCCAAGCAGAAGAATGCTCAGTAACTGAAGGAGCCCAATCATCCTTAGGGGCAACGCTGCTCCCCCCTACTGCCTGGGAAGGAGTTGAAGCAACTGTCAGGCCTGCTCTTCTCCCTCATTGGAAACGTGCCGGTAGCCTGGGGGCTGAGACTGTATGCGAAAGAGTACAGTCAACAGGAGGATTATAAGGAGAAGGAGAATGGATCCACACACAGCCAGACCCACAAACAGTTCTGGAAGGGAGAAAACAAGTGGTCAACATGGTATCATCCAAGCTTTCCCCTTCTGCCACGCTCATCAAGCCTGGGCTCACCTGTGTCGTGTATGCTGCTTGCTACCTGGCATTCTTGCTCCCAGTCCTGGGGAACAACAGGATCTGTGAGTTCCAAGAATCTTTGCAGTGGGCATTTATGCTGACAGCCAGGGATTGTCAGTGGGAAAGGTTCCTTCCCACTCTCGTTGCGGAAAAACATCTCCACAGAGAAGTTACTGAAAACAAAACACAGCTAGATGATGGTTTTTTTTCTCTCCAGCTAGAGTCATCCCTTCCCAAACACTCAATATGCACACCCTTTCCTTTATTCTGGTGGTGGTTTTTCTCCTATGAGTCTGCCACTAGGAGCAAGATTGCATCCCCCTAGGGTGGAGCCTAGCCTGGGTATCTAATCCTTGATGTGAAATCACAGCAGATGTCTTTACTGCAGCCCTCACCCATCATCCTCTTGGTACAGCTCAAATAAATGACATGAGGCGTATGGTGCTTGAATCTTGTTGTAGACATCTAGAGCCATCTGCAGTGCCCCAAGTGTGGTGTCATGCTGAGAAAGAGGGAAAAAAACCAAATCAGTCACCCTTGCGGATGTGGCAGGGCAGCTCAGACCATACCAGTAACAGACAGGGCAGTGCTGAGGGGATGTCACCTTTGTAACTTCCATCTGGAAGAAGGGAGAGGAACTGTACTGCTAGAATGGTGATCTGTGGTGCCAGAGAAGGGGCGGAAGTGAAACACAGCCATATATATCCTGCATTGTTCTTTAAGAATTAATCTCTAGGGAGCAATTTGGGAGAGATGCTTGACTTTCCAGTCAGTAGACTGCTGGAAAAGGGGGATGACTCTGTATCTACACTGCTGAAACAGCACGTCTGAGTAGCATCAACCCATCTACCAAATAAATACAGCAGTGACTCCCCAAAGTCTGCCAGTCTCATCCACGAGCCTGAGCTAACAGGAACAAAGCGCAGGTTGGGAATTTTCCTCAGGAGCCCCAGAGGAATGATGCCAGATCCTGCACATCCCACCCAGCCAGAGGCAAAGATGCATGTCCTGGTCACTGCATGGGCTGTAGAGAAGCCAGAAAGGGTTAAAACTATCACCAAGCCCCAATCCCCTGTGAGGAGGAGGAGATGGATAAAAGCTAGCCCCCAAGCTCTGACTTACCGCTGAATAGACAAGTAGTTTCAGGTTCTGGCGGGCAGAAATGTTCGCTGCTTTGGTTAGGTTTTTCCTTATGTGATCCAGCAGGACCCCTGAGGAAAGGGAACAGCTGATAACAGGCAAAAGCTAGACAGAGCAGCACAAAGCTCCCTCCCCGGTGCACTTACCGCCTTGCAGACGAGCTTTTTCTACCCGATTGTGGATCCCAAAGAGAAATTCAAAACCAAAGTCTTTTAGTTGCTTCAACTGAGTCATGACATCCGGTGTCACCCATACGGGCAAATCCATTTTGTGTGCTTGCTAGAAAGAGAAACAGAATACTCATCTGTAGGCAGCACGGATTGCAGATTAATCACAGAATGGGAGTCAAGGTGTCTGGAGTCCCGCCTGTACTGCTACTGATTTCCTCTATTATTTTAAATATGCCCCTTCTATGCTTCTGTCCTCATGCTGCTGTGCTGCATACAAAGAATATATGTGGATTTTAATGTTGTTTCAGAAACTAATAATGAGAAGCATAAAGATTAAAATCTAGGAGGTACATTTCTGTGAAAGCACAACTGGAGTGCAGTGTTATGTCGTTAACACTGATAAAATAATCTTAGGGCATTTACTGTACATGGGGCTGATTCTGCCCTGCAGATGGCATGCAGTCAAAAAAAAAAAAAATAATTGAGAGAGCACAAACTCAAGGTTTCTGGTGTGCCTGCAGCAGAATTTCCCCAGAGGCTCTGAGGGCCACTGAATAATATTGGAGAAAGTTAGCAACAGCTCTGCAGATGTAATACTGGGATGTACCGCTGACAAAGCCCAGTACTCAAACCCAGAATATACCAAACTGGGAACCAAGAGAAGAATTTGCTTTGCAGCCAACCCATTACAAGAAAGGATTAGTTATACTGGCAGAAAAACAGGAGTTGTGGTTCCCTGGCATTACTTGGAGCAATTTGCTATGCCACATCCCATTAAACTGCCAGAAGATGAGGCTGAATATCCTTAAGGGCCCATTCTGTCTGAGTGGCTTGGAGAAATTCCCATCAGCAACTTAGATATAGTTAGTTTTTCATTAATTTACAAAGAGAAGAGCTGGTAAGTTCAGCTATTTCTTGGACTTTTTTATTTTCTCCAGCCAGATGGCAGAATGACTCTACTGGCTCAGGTGAGAAAAACAATCCTTCTTTTCAGGGCACTGTTAGTAAGACTGAAAAAATAGGAGGAAGCCCAAAGCAGCTGAAGAGACTGATCAGCCCGAGGGTATAGTTTTGAGGGTAAAACTCCCCCAGAATGCTCTGGTTTCATTTTGGGACACTGAGCTATTCTCCAAGTTCTTGGGGATTATAGTCAGCTGGCCTTCCGGGCCCAATTTGCAAGCTCATTAATTGAGTCTTGAAAACGAAGAAGATTTTAAATCCTTGGTCTCTTTGACCAAAGGATTTTTTTTGTTACCGCAGAAGTTGCTTCACTGTGATCGTTACAAGACAGGAGATCGGGTCTGTGATACAAAGGGCAAATTTACATAGTGCAGTGCAGCTCTGGACTGAAATATTCTCAGCTTGCAGCAACTCAAGCTGCCACTTTACTCAGCAAAGTGCAATTCCATGCAGATTTGTCTTGTACATCCCCACATGAGTACATACCACTGTATACCACTGCCAGCAAGCTTAGTAGCCTGGCACCTCCATAGAATTAGCACCAATGTGTCAAAATGCTTGGGTTTACTGCTTCTTCTGCAATTAGCTAGTTTGACATGAAAGATCTCATTAGTACTTCATCATGCTGTATAGTGATACACAAATAAACTCGTGTGCAACAACTGTAAGTCTTCTGGATATGTGACCTTTACTTTAGCACAGCACAGCTAACCCAGTTTTTTATTTTGTTTAAGCCTTCCTGAGATGCACTTTCAAAAAAAACCTCCACGTGAATATAGAGTTTGGTGCCCCACCGCAGAGAGTAAAAGGGTAACATCTGGCAAACCTCAGAATAGGTCAAAAACCAGATGTGGGTGAACCCCACTTAACCTAGAAGAGCATTATTTTCTTTTAGAGGTGGCATTAACAGAAAAGCAGAAAGAAAAAATCTTGATCTAAAGTAACAGAGAGGTAGAACCAGGAACAGTCCCAATTTAAGCCCCCAACTTAAATCATAAAGTTAACGCTCCTTCAGTTTTCCAGAGATCTCATTTCTACCTTACTTAACTCAGACTTGTCCACCGAGATCTAAAGATTTCAGATTGCAGGGACTTTCAAAAGAGATACTTATTATGCAGGTGGGACTTTTTCTGGCTCTGGCATGATATATATCTAAGCTACAAAGTGGGAGGTTATAGGGTGCAGAAGTAGGTAATTCCTGGCACGTGCCTCTGGTGAGTAGGAACTGTTATTATTCTGAAAATAGAACATTACTTCTAACTGTAGGGTGGGAATGATGAAAAGTTGTCTTACAGGATTTTTCAAAATAATCTTCTACCAAATCTAGTGAGCCCTAAAAACCAAATTCCCGTGGCTGTCAGATGATGGCCAAACTTACTTCACAGAACAGTGTGTCATACACACTCCAAACAGACTCAAGAGAGACATCCCGGATCCCAGTCTCATTTGCCACCATCTGCAGGAATTGCTGTAGGTATGAGAACAGAGAAAGGCCTTCAGTTTTCTAATCTTATACTGTATTACATGCATAGGTATTCCTACCCTTTTCTCAGAGCCGTGGTTATATAGATGGGTGATAATACTTGAACTATGAGCCTAAGACTACCTTATCTCATACAAATAATCACTTACCCAATTCTCTTTGGTCTTATTTATGTATTCTGCCGAGTGCCGTGTTTCATTCTGTAGCTGTTCATACCGTGGACAGGGGGTCAAAGGAAACTTCAGTAGCTGGGCAGAGACAACAAGAGCAGCTAGGTCACCGAGAACACTGAAGTACAGAATTTGCAGTCAACACGCGCAACTGTAACAAAACCCTGACTCGCGGGATGCAGCTATAAACAGCCTCAAGTCTTGCCTTCTAACATATTCTGGATCGCGTGTGGTCTGCTGAGGTGTCGCAACTAACATGCTGAGCGAACACAGCCCCTGAATTCTCATCTTGTTCTGAGAACAGAAGAACCTTTGCTAAGCAGGTCCCAGCAGAAGTTCAAGACAATCTGAATCAAGACTGAAGCAAAGACTTTTGGAGAAGTCAGCATAACACACTACTTGAGTAGTCAGTACGTATCCTTGAGACTAACTTACCCTTTCCTCGGACTCAGGCACTGTGTGCACAGGGATAGGCTGCCAGGAGATGTTAGGGTTGAATATCTGGTGTCCCTCGGGGGGATACAGGCCTGCCAGATTGGCCTCCGCACTCATCAGCGTCCGATCACAGTCTGTGCTGCGGATGAAGATCTGCCAGGACAGGGACAGACTACATTACCATTAGTAATGCGGTGGTGCTCGCACGGAGGACGATGCGCTCGCTGAAGGAACATTGCCAAGTGCCCTGCTCACAGACAACAGGATAACAGGAGTTGAAGTGACCAAGCCTGCTGATGTCAACCTGGACAAAACAGTAAGGACGGACACAAAGACAATTTGGTGTGTAATACTGGAGCAGTCTGTTTGGGATCAGTGGCACAGTCAGATGCACTGTGCGGAGATTACAGACAGAAAGGAGTCCGAATATGAGGCAGAGTCAGAGAAGGGCAAGACAGAGATACAGATAATGATGGGCACAGATAAGAAATGCACTATATTTACAGATCATTGTGGGCTCTTGGGATTAATGGGCGAAGACTTCTCATTCCAGAGAGCAGAGAGAGAGATCTGAGCCAGAAAAAAAAAAGAAATGAGAAAAATACAGAAAAGTTCAGAAGGTCAAAATGGCAAAACTTTGGTATTCTGTGTACTGAAAAGACTTAGGGAGAAACTGGAGAGAAACCAGTGACAACGCAAGAGGAACACATGGGGAATCATGAAAGAATGTTCCAGAAATCAGCATGCTGAATCTGAAACAAGAATAAAAACCCAGAAAAATGAAATACAATATCAAGACAGGCTGTGAGAGTTGGGGTTGTTCAGCCTGGAGAAGAGAAGGCTCCGGGGAGACCTTATAGCGGCCTTCCAGTACCTAAAGGGGGGCTACAGGACAGCTGGGGAAGGAGTTTTTACAAGGGCATGTAGTGATAGGACGAGGGGGAATGGCTTCAAACTCTAAAAGGTAGATTTAGATTAGATATTAGGAAGGATTTTTTCACTTTGATGGTGGTAAGGCATTGGAACAGGTTGCCCAGGGACACTGTGGAAGCTCCATCCCTGGAGGTGTTCAAGGCCAGGCTGGATGGGGCTTTGAGCAACCTGGTCTAGTGGGAGGTGTCCCTGCCCATGGCAGGGGGGTTGGAACTCGATGATCTTCAAGGTGCTTTCCAACCTAAACCATTCTATGATTCTATGATAAGATTTGGATTTATTTTTTTTTAAATGTTAAATGAGGAGAGAGAAACATAAGGAAAAATACCTATTTTCACTCTGTAGCATCTCCCATGTGAAGGATATCTCAAAACTCAAGTCACAAGGGGAGAAAAAAAAAAAGAAAAAGAGTTGTCTTTGACAATTTCTACCCACTTTTACCTCTTAACTGTGGCTTGAAAACAACTGACCCTGTACACCTTAGACAGGATTGCTTTCATTAGAGGTAAACTCTGAAGAAAGGAAATATCTCAAAAGGAAAGGATCTAATTCTAGAAGTGTCATAAAAAACAATTAAGCCCTAAGCATACATGCTTTCTTCAGCACCTTTTGCCAGGGCTCCAGCTTGTCGCTGAGTCAGGTGACAAACGGTCATATGTCACCCAGAGGCAACACTTCTTCTGAGAGGAAGGTTGCTCAACTCAAGCAGGGATCCGGGCTCAGTTAGCAGAACAGCTTTTGTTTGCATATGGCTTCGTTTGTTTTCCCTTCTCAAGCAAGAGAAGGAAAACAGTTTCAGCTGGCAAAAAGCTTTACAAGAGCGAAGCATGTTGAGAAAGGAACCACTGAGGAAGGTTAAAGGATCTGTGTTTGAGCTGATGCTGGAAGTTTTGTTGATGAAGCAAGTGTCAAAGAAGGAATATAATCTGAACTATGGCAAGCTGGGTATTTTCTGGGGAGCCCAAAAAGGGGGGAAACAAAGACAGAAAATTGTACGGGGATTCTCCATTTCCCCTATCTGGTCAATTACCCAAAGTGAGCTCAGGTAAAATAATGGAACCGATGCAGAGCCACTGGTGGGACGAGGAGGTCTTGACTGCCCGCTGTCCATCCCAACCACGGGACAGCATTCCTCTCGCTCACCGTAACACTTGCTCATGGTCCAGTTGACTCACACCTCTTTGATCAACCAGCAGGGGTATGGAGTGTGTGTGTGGGGATTTTCTATTTCCTTTTTTTTTTTTTTTTTAATCTTTCAAATCTCCTCCTGTGCTTAGCACACGGTTCCACAAGGGCTCCACACCTTTTTATAACAGAAACCTACCAGTTTCTCAAGAACTGTTATAAGGTGTGGCAACATCCTGGAGAGAGAGAGAGAGCAAAATGAACACCTTTGGGGGGGACTGAAGCCGTTGATACTTTACAGGTGGAAACAAAGGAGAGGGTCACTTCTGGGCAGTAACTACTGCTTCTGTGTCCAGACTGCCGTGAGCCTCTACCTGAAGTGCTCTGGGGAGGGGAAGGCAAACACAGGCTGCATTCTTGCCAACTGGCGTGACGAAAAGTAACAAAAATCTCCCAATCTCGAGTGAGAAACAAGTACCAGCTACGACGCAGCACCGTGATTCCCGTTTAGTTCCCCTGACCTTGCAAACAAACACACTTCGAGACGAGGCCCGGTGCTGCCGCCCGTCCTCCCCCCCCCACCCCGAGCCCCGGCACTGACCTCCTG